TCATGGCCGCTCTGCCCCCACAGCCTAGTGGGAAGGCAGCGTCACCAGGGGTCACACATGTCACCCCCCCTGTGCCAGCTCCCTTGCCCCTTGCAATAAAGAAACAACCAAGTGTCACCTCTCCCCAATTGCCTCCGCTGCCCCCAGCCCCTCCTGGCCCCACTCCCCCCCCAACCTTCCCAAAGCAGCAGAGTTTCTCTGTGAAGCCTCCTCCATCCCCTCAGTCACCAGTACCGTCAGTGGTGAAACAGATAGTTAGCCAGTTCCCACCTCCTCCCACCCCACCTGCCACTGAGCCCCAGCCTTTGAAACCCCTTCCACTGAGTGTGGCTCCACAGTCACCTCCAGCAGTGAAGGCAAAGCCCAAATGGCAGCCCACTTCTGCTCCCTCACCAGATTTCCCCCCTCCTCCACCAGAGAGCAGCTTAGTGTTTCCTCCTCCACCTCCTTCCCCAGCTTCCTCTGCAGGTTCTCCCCCCCCTGACAAATCAGGGTCTCCAGTCAAAAAGGCCAGCAAGACATCAAGCCCTGGAGGGAAGAAACCACCTCCAACACCTCAGAGGAACTCCAGCATCAAGTCCACCAGCTCCACTGAGTACCATGAGTCCAAGAGACCTTCAGTGGACCGCCTTGTCAGCAAATTTGCACACCCACCAGAGCCGTCAGGGTCTCCTTCCAAGGAGTCATCGCCTCCTGCAGCCCCTCCAAAGCCAGGAAAGCTCAACCTTTCTGGGGTGAACCTGCCCATTGTCCTTCCACAAGGAGGGGTCACAGCCAAAGCTCCTGCTCCGGGTGTGTCTGGGAAGGAACCTGTAGTCGAATTCCCTTCACCACCATCCGATTCAGACTTTCCACCACCACCACCTGAAATAGATCTTCCTCTCCCACCAGTTGAGATCCCATCCGTGTTTTCAGGCAGTACTTCCCCAAAAGTTGCTGTTGTCAATCCTCAGCCTCAGGCATGGTCAAAACCATCTGTGAAAAAAGCCCCACCACCCACACGTCCCAAGCGGAATGACAGCACTCGGCTGACGCAGGCAGAGGTCGCAGAGCCACCAGGGTCAGCCGGCCCTCAAGTGCCCACTTCACCCAAGTCCAGCCTTAGCGTTCAGCCGGGATTCCTGGCAGACCTCAACCGGACACTACAGCGGAAATCCATCACCCGGCATGGCTCCCTCTCCTCCGCTCGGATGTCCCGAACAGAGCCCACAGCCACCATGGACGACATGGCCCTGCCTCCGCCTCCACCAGAGCTGCTGGCTGACCAGCAGAAGACAAGCAGCTTTGGGGGCGCTCATATATCTGGCTATGCAACGTTACGGAGGGGGCCTCCCCCTGCACCTCCCAAAAGAGATCAGAACACCAAGCTGTCGCGGGACTGGTAGTTGGTCCCCAGGGGCCGGTGCTCTCCATGGCTTGTGGGCTGCTCCGTGATTGGCCAACCTGTGATCTTGCGCACTTGGAGAGAACGTGGGGACACAGATGATAGCCCCATCAAAAGAGGTGATCTCAAACTGTAGCTAAGGCTAAATGTAAAGACATTCCCCTTTTATGGCTAGGCCAAAAAGGCTGTGGGCTTGGGGTGTTGATATTTTACTGGGAAAGGTGGGTAGAGAGGCATTGACTTATCCTTTCAGTTTCTTTTGCCCTTCATATGGACCAAACCCCCATTTTCTTACCTTTTCTGCATTTAGGGGAGGGGGGGGAGATAATTTTTTGTAGTGTTTGTCCACGTGAGACATGTTTGTGCATGTATTATAAGTATAGGTATATAATATATTGTGATATATTTCGTCGCAATTAGAGAAGATAACCAGAATGTTTTTGTAGAACCGTATTTATTGTTTCAGTCACTATATTATCTGGAATCGGACTCTGTAACTAGTCAAATCTTACCATAAAGATGAAGATGGAGGGGGCACTTTAAAGAAAGGAAAAAAACAAACTACAAAACCCCACAAACCTCTTGGCAGTTTGTGGTGGGTAAATGGTGCAGAGCTGCGGTGTTCTGCTAGTAACTGTACACTGTCCATTGATTGAAAAGTACAGATGCAACATACCAAAACATTCTGGTCCTAATACTACTGAAAATGAGTATGTTCTGAGGAAGAAAATAGATTTTGTATATAGTGGGCTGGAGTGAAATATATTTATACTATAAAGAGCCTCCCCCTCCCTTTCATATAGTTTAAAAATATACACTGCTACAAATTATTTCAAAGTTAATTGTCCATGCAGTAATAGGATAAATATATATTATTCCAATCCATTATGCATTCTAACTTTATAGTAGGCTCGATCATTTGTTTCTGTGGCTCAAGATGAATATATTTGTGTTAACCCCTTCTGAAAGCTGCCAGGACTCCTGCAATCGATGCCAACCTACAAGGCTGACCCATGCCGATACATCACCTGTACGTGTAATTCTTTCCCTCAATGAACAGGTAGGTTTCTGTAGAGCATACAAAGTCTCACCTTGTCTGTGCCTGACAAGGTGTATTATCTTTATAGAAACAAGTGTGTGGAAACATTTAAAGAAAGTTTTCTTTGTAATTCATTAGAAACTGTAGGAAAATTTTCCCTTTTAGAAAGAGAGAAGGGAGTTGTCATTCCAGGCCAAGCACAGTGGGAATTCTCTCTCTTTTCTTTGACCCACCAGAGACTGCGACCAATGCATGAATCTGTTAATTACAAAGTTGCACTTGTAGCAGTCAAGGGAGAAGACTGGAAAAAAACCCAAACTTGAGAGGCAGTAGCATTTCTAGTAATTTAATTTAAGAGCCCATATGAGTAGGAAATAGACTATTGCATTTGCTTTGGTTTTTTTGTTTGCCTCCAATTCACTGTCAATCACCAAATTAAGTACTAGAGTCCATTTTCTTGTATGTCAGTAGCTGGATTGTACAGTCTTACCCACATATTTGGGTGTTGTGATAAGGTAGTGTAGTTAGCGTAAGTGGTCTTATGTATCATGCATGTTCATCACAGGGTACACAGCCTTTGTAAAGCAACTAGGACTCTACCTACCCCATCTTTGGTTGTTACAACTTCTCTCATCACCCTGAGGATACTGTCACGCGTAGATGGCAAATGGTGTTACTGTTTGTTGACCTGTTCTCCGAAAGCAAATTTTAAATGCTTTCCTTCCCCCAAAGAATGAAACAAAGGAAGCGGCTTGACCTGACAGTATCCTCTAGCATGTAAAAAAGATGTAAATTAATCTCTCATTAGAGTAATTCAGGCTGATAGATTTCAGAATTATTGTGACAGTGTCCCCCATTCCTTTTTTTTTTTTTATAAAGTGTTTTTAAAAAAATCCAAATAATAAAATAAATGTCTTTGTGAATAATTTATGAATAGGAAAAAAGCTTTCTAATTAGAGGGGAAAAAATGACACATCTATAACTATATAGTTTTAAATAATGCATCATGAAAAGAGAAAAATTAATGGTGCTGTCTCTGCTGACCTGTTTCATATGATTTTTTTAAAATCTGTTTCAGCACCTCTGGAAATTGTTTTAATATTTCAGAGTTTTTTTGAGCAATAAGAGTATATACCATTGTGTGCATTTTTAAAGCACTGCTATGGAAAGGCACTTTTTTGTATCTTTCAAATTATTCACAAAGTTTTGTTTCTACTATTTTTGTGCTTATAAAGTGTCCTTAAAAGCATTTGCATTGTTGATTTTAAGCATGCTCAGTGTAGCTGGCTAATAACTTCCCAGGAAGCTGTTTAAGCTATACTGCAATTCATGGGTGCTGTAATTTTCAACATTGGTCCTCCTGCTGCTTTTTACTGCACGCAGCTCCTGGGGCTCATACCCACCAGTGGGGCAAAAGGTGCACAGACAGAGTCATAACTCCCCAGCTGTTATTGATGACAGGCAGGTAAGGGGACACCTTCTCCTACTCCCTGGCAAGATGCATCTGGGCTGATGCAGTGCGTGCTGCTAGATGAGAGCAGTCAGGGAATTCTGCTTGCCCCATCTGTTTTTCTTTTCCCTCCAAGATGACTTCACTGGTGTGTGTCAGGTCCAGCGCTTTTTCTTTTGTTCGTTTAGTGCGGGTACCTCTGGGCTTTGGACTCAGCAGAGCAATGTTTTGAGTGCAATCGCTCCAGAGGCGTTTGAGCTTTGTTCTCTCTTTCCTGTGCCCAAGTTCATTTACCCAGTATCTCTCCCCAGACAAGGAATCCACGTTTACTACTGCGAGCTGCTACGAGCGAGGCTTGCTGGGAGACAGAAGTTTAACTCTTAAGTTTGCAGCAAAAAGAATGAGTGTCAGCAAAGGTGGCACCCTGTATTCCTTCTTGTTACAACTAACGTCCTCAGCCAGTAGTGATACAGAAATACAGTGAGTGGCTGCAACTTGCTTTCTCTCAACCGAGCACTGAAATTTGGCTACAGTGTGGTTCAGACAACCTGGTTGCCTTTTCAGCTTATGAGACCCCTCATTGTAACTTGCTTTCCCAGTGTATTTACTGTTTTTGTGACAGTAAGTATTTATGCCTTATTTGCAAGTAAGTTATTTTCCCCCGACTGCACTGGTCTCATAATTGCACCATGTATTTATCTAAATCAGAAAACAAAGGGGCCAGATCTCAGACACGCAGCAAGAAGCTTCCTGCTACAAACATGGGCTGTAATCCTTTTGGCATTATTAAAATGAGCACGTGAGAGCTGAGCTTTCATACTCTGGACACAAAGCTAGCAGATGCTTTGATCCCAAAATACCACAGCTGTAGTTGTGTTACATGATGAAGTGTATGGCCTTTGACACTTGTTAAGGTGGGTGTTGGGTTAAACCCTGCTGCTGCAGAGGCAGCTGAGAGCATACAGCTGCATTTGTTAATTTGTTCCAGATTTGGTCTTCATTTCCTGTCTCCTGTGCAGCAGTAGCATCCACCTCGAGAGCAGCAGTGTCCCTCCCATTTGACCAGGTTTCTCTGTGCCTGCAGCACAGGTGTAGACAGCAGAGAGGCAGTCTTCTCAGATGCTTCCATTGTAATTCAGGTCCCCGGGAGTTGCTTTGGAAGGGAAAACTAGGCTTTTATATCAGCACTAATCTTATAGGAAGAAATTATTTTAAAAATACTAAAAAACAAAGGTTCTAAACAAACCATAGGTAACATGTTTGAGGTGGATATGCTGGAGGTTCTGTTTAGTCTTTCAAAACCTGTGGTTTTGATTAGGCATAAGTCTCACAATAAAATAATCCTGTTACTTTTTGTGGAAGAGGAAAGCTCCTGCTTCCCCCTGTGCAGTGATTGCTTCCTGCAGCAAACCACCGCTTGCTCTGACTTGGTGTGGGACCTCAAAGCCAAAGAGCTCCTCTCCGGAACTTGCGCTGCAGTTTCCTACAGGGCGACAGTGACTGACTGGCACGTCAGGGAAACTAAGTGAAGGTACCTGCATCGCTCTGGTTTCAGGGCTGATGGGAGAGGGAGCATTAACAAGTGCATTTTAAGATTTACTGTTATAGACTTGCACATTTAAAGATTTTCTAATTTCTTCTTTCTGTGCCCTTAGGCAACCAGATAACTCAAATCAGCTCAGAGATAAAGTGTGGCCAGTTTTCCTCTGAGTTAAAAATTATTTTTTCCACAGTTAAAGGAACCAAAAGTGCCATTTCAACAGCAGAAGGGCAAAAAAGAATTTTCTGCTTCTTACAGAAAACTGCCTAGAACTAAGTTGTTTTACGTCAGTGGTACCGTTGCAGGTAAATTTGTTTCTTATTCAATCTAAGATTATAAGTAGGTTTTACTATGAGTATTACTTCAAATACAGAGTCATGTTAAAATCAGTTGCATTCCAGGAAAGCAATATAAATTCCTGACAGAAGGCAGTGGGGGAATGCAGCCAGAATGTGAGCTTGGGGTGGTTTTTTCCCTTTTTTCATTGTTAGGGTGTAGATTACATACTTGTTGAAACAGTGCTCCTCAGTTGGAGGTGAGGAGAATCTTACTTCTTTTGGGGGAGTGGCTCCTGGTGTTTAGCTTTGCATTCCCTCCCATCATCAGGGCAGACTCCAAAACAGAGAGGATTAACACTACAGGGGACAGTTTCTCTTAGACTTGTTTTTTGTAATGTGCTGGTGGGTTTTATGTTCTTATTTTGAAATTTTAAGTTTGTTTAAAGTTGAGTAATTTTCCTTTTCAAGGTTTTTCGCCTTCAATTAAAAAAACACCCATGAAGACTGACAAAACCAGTTGCAGGGGTCAGCACTCACTAATGCTGTGATCCAATGAGTCACAGGCTTTGTCTAGTTTTGGAAAGTTTAAGACACTAAACTGCAAATGCGGTTACAATACGTGCTTATTCCCCACAATGTAAATGAACTGCCACTAACATGGGAAAATAGTACTTTGGGTTGATGGCTATTTTGTGCTCTGAGGCACTCAACAGGGCAAGGACTCAGTGAGCTCTCTGTTCATCAGAAGCATGTATCACTGGTGAGGAGAACTAGAGAAGTTGGAAGAACAGGAGGAACAGGAACTAGTGTGATATGCACAGTCCCCCATGGCAGGGATTTAGTATTGGAAATGAGTGAGAAGGAACTTGAGGAACAGATTTTTTAGACACTACTCCCACCCCACCCCTTATTTAAATGCTTAAAGGCAACTTGTCTTTTAGGAAGCTTAGGAATTGAACCAACTGTTCCCTACAGTGGCAAACAGTTTCCTCCCACCTCTCCTAAGATGCCAAAGATGCATTCAGAGCTAAATTCCAGGTACGCGGATGTGCTTGCACCAGCCTCTCCTGAGGCTGTTGCCAGGAGCTGAAATGCAGCTGTTTGGCAAGAGACCAGGGCTGCCACTGTTAGATGTGCATCTCTTGCCTTTAGCCAGTGCTGGTGACCGGGTACACACCTGCAAGGGACAGGGGCAAAGGACAGTTTAGCAAACAAACCTGTGTCCAGGGCCCCCTGCTGCTGATTTGGTGCAGCACTATAAAGCTTGTACTTCTAAAAGGAAAAGTAAATGCTTTGTCAGAAGTTGTAATTGCAAATCTTAGGTCCCCTTCTAGTGGGCTGCAATGGACCAGAAATTAACTGGAGCAGCAGTTTGTTTTATGGCTTACACTAATTGTTTGCAGCCACTGGTGATATTCTGTATAATACTGGGGATGCAAATGTAAGAAAAAAAAGTGTCATTGCAATGATGATTTGTCTGTGCAGCAAACTTGTGCTGAGTGCTGTAAATACATTCATGTTTACTGCTTTAAAAAGAAAATTGCACATTTTATCTTTCAATGGGATTGCCTCCCCTCTTCTTCCCTTTCCAAAAAGAAAAATCAAAGCTCTTTTAGACTGATAGCTTCAGGTTGGGGGGAGCTTTGCCATATTATAAATATATATAAATATATGTATAAATATACTTTTTTAAGCATGGGAGAGGACAAAAGAAATACTACATTATAGAGTACCCGATATAGATCATTATACAATGGAATATGCACAATTCAATAAAGATGTAGTTAAATTTAATAATCTGTTTTAATCCTCTGTCTTGGCATTTTCATTTTTCTTGAGTTCAGAACCCACACTGTGTTCTTAGGCATCAGTGGTTCCCCTCTGTAGGGATCAGATATCTGATGGCCTACACGTTACCATTTATGTGCTCACTCTCAATAAAATTGCTTTTTATTGTTCCTTTGCACAGTTCTTTCCAGTGGGTCAGGCTGTACCAGTAACATGGTGCACACCTATTACAGGTCTAAAGAGGACCCAGTGTGAAGGCTCACCTTTTCCATCGGCCTCCTCCCTCAGCATGCAGGGTCCCGTACAGCTCTGCTCGCGCAAGAACAGCTGATGGCTGGTAAGTGTTCCTGCAGCCCCTCTCTGGGGTCTGCTGTAGGGAATTCAGCTCTGTTCATCTCCTCCTGGGGTGCACTGACAGGCTGGCCCAGATCAGTCGTCAGCTTTTACAGCAGAGATTTGAGGCGTTATGTTAGTGGTGACCACAAGGAAATGAGTACTCACATGAGGTGGAGCGAGGCGCTGCGCTCGGAGCACCTCTGGGACAGGGCTCTTGCATACACAGGTGTCAACTCCTGCTCTCCTTGTGTTGAGACATCTGTAGCCAAAGACGAGGAACGTGACGCGGCAGTGTCACAGAACACATGGTGTGTGCTTTGTTCTTTTTATTTAGGGCTCGTAACAAGAGGGTTTAGTACACAGCAACAGTTAATTCCAAGTACAATTAAAAAAATTTAAAAATTGGGTTTTGCACTCACTGGAAGGTGGTTCAAATGGCACACACAATAAAACGTTACTGGCGGCATACAGCTCCCCGGAGTCCTGCGGGCTTGGTCATTTACAGTGGGCTCTGCACTCATGCACTGCCTCAGCAGCGCCAAAAGTAAAAGCACAGCGTGCTTCTCCCCTGACTGCAAACCAAAGGTGGGGGGTGAGGGGGTATCTGCTTTCAGAAAAAAGTGCATGGACAAAATCCATGTTAGACACTGACATTTCCAGAGAATTCATAGAAACTACTTGTCCATGCAAGTTGCAAAAGACACTTTTTCAAATGTGAAAAGAAGCACTTGTTCTTTACAAAAAAATCTCAAGACATGTCAGCACTTTAGCAAGGCGCTGTAATGGAAATGAATTTGTACACAGCTCTTCCTTATTAGTCAATAGTGGTAGGATTCTTCTGAGGTTTTAAGAGAAACAGGAACAAAGGTACTGCACACATTTCAGCAGAGTCACCACATCGGTGTTCAGCAGGATGCTGAGTGTAGGCTTACCTCTGACAACAGGCTGCTGCTGACTTCATGGTTTTGTAACACAAGTTGTAATAAGCAAAGGTGCTAATAAAATTAGTATGTTTAGAGTACCAAAGAAAAAACACTTCCTGCATGCGCAGGAGATTGCACAGAACACATGGCTGGGGTTTTTTTTGAATGAAAGCAGCAGAACACAATGGTCTGTGAAGTATTCTTTGTAACAGCAGTTGGCAAACCTTAGCTGCATCAAGCTTTCAGCAACTTTCCCAGGCATATGAGGTGGGGGGATCTACTATTCTTGCAGTTTCAAAATCAAAAGTAGATCAATAGGACTGTTACTATACGTAGACTTCAGCTACTCGGGAGGAAAGGGGACACAAGACCAACACCCCCCCCCCCCACAAAAAA